TAGGATATTCAGTTGTTGTAGCGTTAAATACGCCCAATTGACGTTTTTCCTGGAAAAAGCATGAACAAATGTAGAACACGCCTTGTTCTCTCATATATCAGTATATCATTAGTTTGATAAAATATAGGTCGTTGAAATTCCATATTTAGTAGTAATAATCGTCGATGATTATGAGTAAAATAGCTTAAAAGCTCCAATTCATCCGTTTTCATAAAGAAAAACAATTTTTTTTTTTTCGAATAAAAAATTTGTAAAAGATTGTTAATAAAAATTTTGCGAATATATCAAATAATATATCTTTGGAAAAGTTATCAGAAATATTGTTGCGTGGCCGTTATGATCTTCCCCTCCTCCCCGAAAAAAGTCAGTTCGTGTCAGAATCATCGATATTGATAATAAATGCATAGAAAGATAGCCCGTGATCTGATCTTTCATAAATGACAAAAATTTTTTATCGGCACCTCGTTTTTTCCAAAATTTTTTGAAGATTTCCGTTATTCCCTATCCGAAAAATAAGCCATTTTTTGGAAAAAAACCGAAAATTTTTTTTTCGTTTTTTCTCGGTTTATGATTTTTTGATCTTTTGTCCAAAATTTCTCAGTTCAGGCTCTTTCAATATATTCAAATTTTTTTTTGTTTGAAAGAGCATGTCCAGATGCAGGGCATCACAGAGTCCTGTTTTTAATTAAGCTTTATTTTTTATTATATATACAAACATTTATGTAACTAGACATCCATTTTTGGCGCGTTTTTTGAGTCATTGAACTTGTGATCGCCTTTCTCCGCTAAAAAAAAATAACAATTAAAAAAAAAGAACTCTGTGGTGCCCTGCATCCTGACATGCTCTTTCTAACAAAAAAAAAATTAAATATATTGAATGAGTCTGGACCAAGAAATCTTGGACACACAATAAACTATTTTTGACCCTTGTTTGATTCATATCTCTGTCAAACATCATGATTTCGAGCTGAAAATTTTACCACAGCCTCAACATATTCTGAAAATTTCACGCGATTGGAATGTACTTGGTTCTGAGATCGATTTTTGAGGGGGGGGGGGGGGGGAGGCCTTATCTGAATCTCTCGGAAAACTTACTCTTTATATCGAATCAAACTGTTTTTTTTTTCTCATTTATCATCATTTATTTTCATAGCTATTCAAATCCAATACATTATTGTTGTTAAGTCACCGTCATTTGACAAACCATCTAATCATGATTATTCTCATTACTTCTATGGTTTTTCTTATGTAGAGTAGCATATTATGTAATCCATTCGAAATCTAAGATGAAGAAAATTCATAAGTGAACGGAGAAACAGATTATGTCTATTGAATTTCACTTCTTTTCTATAATTATCAAACTTATGTAAATAGAACATAGAGCTGTAAACCAAAGTTTAAAATAGAAGACAATTGGAGACTAGTCGATAGCTAAATTATTCTCATTTATGAAGAAATATTTCAGGCATTATAAAATCATATAGATCTAGATGAGATGAAATAAAAGAATAAAAACATATATCTATCATTCACTGTTCTTGCCTAATTCAAGCAGAATTCATCTTTTTTTCTTTAACAAGAAATGAATGAAATATTTCTATTTGAATAATTTACATTTGTACTTAAAATAAACCGATGTCGTCTGTGAGCTCTTTTTAAGGTCAAAAACAATCGTCTGAGTGTTATCGAACTAAAATGTTTTTACTTCTAGTTGTGGAAATAGAATTGATTGAAGGCTTTCCTTTCTTTATGAATATATCATTTCTTCCGTCGTAAATGGATTTAAGTAATGACTGCTGAGTTTCTTAGAAATAAAAAACGTGGCTGCTTGACTCTGTAGGGGGTGAACCATTTCTAGTGCCAACTGAAGTACATTACTTATTTTGAAGAGTATTGTTTAGTTCTCATTTATCATTAATTATATTAACTGGTTAATGAGGCAGCTATATAAATATAGTTAGTCAGTAAATGAAAAACATTTCATTTAGCAAGTTATATTACACTATCTCAATATAGATCAAAGTAGTGTTATTTAAATAATGCAATTCTCAAGATATTATGTATCATCATTGTCAAAATACATGTAGAAAGTCATAGAAACAATAACAAATGCTAGAGATGCATCTAATTCTAGAACATTATGTCAAATATGACATTTTTGTTTTTATTTAGAGTCTAGTTCCCTGTAGATTGTTTATATCAATCATGATCAGTTGTTCTTGCTCTATCTAAAGCTGTAGCAAAAATTCAGTAAATACACAACAAATGTTTTGAAGTTTGTCAAAAATTCGTAATTTTGTAATTTATCTCGACCAATTCTGACAGATATTAGTATCTGTGTTATATATTAGGCAAAAACCTAAGAATAGATTCGAGAAGAAAGTTTAAAATAGAGCACAACCTATATGAAGAATCGTTAGGAGTTCAGTAATTCTCAATACTCGAAATATTCTAATCTCTGATTAGAAATTCAAGAAATTGGTTTATCCTTGTGTGTAAAAACATCGCTTCAGTATTGAAAGTTACCGAACTCTTATCATATTCTTCATACCAGTTTCGAACGTTCGTTTCATATCTATTTTTAGATTTTGTCTGATGTAACACAAGGATCTTAAAATCAGTTGGAGTTAGTTAAAAAAGAATTTTTTAAAAATGTGAACTTTTTGTTAATTCCGAAACCTTTGTTTTGTATTTGATGAGTTTTAACGAATAGCTTCGGTTAAAACAACAAAAATTGATCATGGTTAATATGAACACTACACAGAGAACTATATTCTGGATAAAGACAATGTCATCTTTCAAATTATGTTCCAGGAATTGATGCATTTATAGCAAATGTACTGAAAATAAATTAATTTTAGAAAGAATTGCAGTTACCAAACAAATTATCTGAAGATTTGTTCTTTTTTGAGTTCGTATTACTAGAAATACTCAAATAATAATGAATTTCAGTTTATAATAAAATTAAGATTTAATTTTTATTTGCAATATTATGCAAAGAATAATCAAATTTTAGTATTATCTATCTGTGAGCAATACTTGGGTGATTATATTTCATCAAAATTTGATGATCATTTCAAAAGAATTTATTTAGTCAGTTAAATTTAGAATGACTATATATTTTTTGTCCTTGTTTGACTCTAATTTCGATCAATTTGCGTTTCCTTTTTATTTCACATGTGTCTATTTATAAGAATCGCAAAAATTGATGACATGTGATTATATAGTAGTACATGAGTTATTCATTTAGACGTCTATTTAATTCTTTAATATTGGATCATAATTGAATATGTTGTATCTGAAGTTGTTTTATTTAAACTATAGAATATTTCCACACGTATACAATTCTTTCAAATTAATACTTATTTATTTCGTTACAAAAAATAAACTACTTTACGAAAAAAAAACCAATGAAATTCGATACAAACTACTGTATAAAATATCTATTTGTAGATTTTTATTAATTCAATAAATCATTGAAAAACAAGGTGATAATAGAACAGACATTTATATGGCAGCTACCAAGTTAATCCGATGCTGCTGTTTTCATAAATATCTACTCTACTCGAGTTCATCATGAAACTGTTTTCAGAAACGAATTATGCTCTCGCTTATTATATTCATATAAGAAAATTGTATGCGATATTAGTCTTACTTCACTTCGTTCAATATATAGTTCGAGTATTTCGTATATGATTTGTCTAAATACGATCATATGCGGAACAAAATAGTTATTTTATGACTGTATATAGTCTTCATATTTTTCATCGATAACATGCGTCACTATCAGTATCTCGATGTTCATGGCATCAAATAGAATAAATAATATACTTCGAGACTATTTTAGAACCAAACAAAAACTCATAGCAATCATTTATTTTTATGAATTTATCGGATTCCTCAGAACAAAAAATAGAGTATTCGTCAGAAGACAAGAAAGACCATCAAATTTTATGATGCAACGCCATCATAGAACCAGGGGATCAATTTCATCATTTGTCACTTTCAATATACAAATATCTACAATAAATGAAAGAGAAGAATGTATTTTATTGTATCAAGTCTATTTAAAACATAGATGTAAAAGAATGCTTATACGTTGATGTAACATGTTGAAATAAGGTTGTTTGATCGATTGTCAATTTCAATTCGATAAAGATGATTAAGTAAATAATTTAATCTATCAATATTAAAATAAATAACATTCAAAAAAATATATTTTATTTTAAAAATCAAATCAACAATTATTCAATGTTAAGAAAAACAGATTTTCAGATTTTCAGATTTTTGACGCTTTCTCGTTAGAAAGATGCCCTTTCGATCGAAAAACCCTGTAAAATGGTAGAAGCTTGGAAATAGAACTCTTATGACTGGATTTTTCTATGTCCGATCACAAGCGATTGTCAGTAGGCACAACCCAGTCAGTAGATTCTTGTTTCCAAGTTCTAACCATTTTTCGGCTGAAATCGATCGTATTTCATTCACTTCAGTTTATCGATCAAACTTAGCTATTACTCTATGATTCAAATACAAATAAAATTAATTGTATGCAATATCAATCAAACATGCGTATTGAAAATACAGAAAAAAAATATATATATATATTTTTCGATTTTATCTCATCCGAAATTATAAAAGATGAGAAATATACCATCTAGAAAGTAAGAAATAGAATATTTAAAATATAAGTAAAGAATATTTTTTTGATTATGAATCAATTTGAAAAGATTCTATTGTAAATAAAATCTATTGATTCTATATCTATATCTTATATATATTTTTATGGACATATTCCAAGAGATCCAATTCACAATCTGATTACAATATTGCTTTGTAATATTTGCACATGTATATACATATACTCTTTATGAGTAGCACAAACAATATTTGTATGTATAATAAAACTATAAACAATGAAAAAAGAAAACAACAGAAAAGCAATGTAATAATTAAACAAAATAAGAACAATTAAAAATAAAATAAAAGATAATGATACATATTCACATCCAAATAAGTAATCTACCTGCTTTTTCATTAAAAAAAGCTGCAAATTGTTTATATTGAAGATGATTTCGTTGATTGATTAACCATTTATGAGCATCATTTTTCATTTCATTCGATGGTTTTCCATCAACACAAAGTGAAATAAGTGGTGCTTGTTGTTTAGAAAATTCATCATAATAACATAAAACTATTAAATCTATTGTTATATCTAAAGATCTCATATCAATATATAAATGTCGAAGATGTAAAAATATTGAAGCAATATGTGTAATATGTTTTTTTGTATTTATTGAACATGATGACATATGATTAATTGTTAATGCAGTTATACGTTGTTGTAGAAGTTTACAAATATCTTTATTATCAAGTAAAAGTATTAATGTATTATAATTCAAATCCAAACGAAAAAGATTTGGAGCAGCAAGAAGTATTGTTGACATATGATGAAGATCTTTTGGTGCACTACCAACAAGAGTTAATCGACGAAGACGTGGCATTTTAGGTAATATGTTATTTTCATATTGTTGAGTTTGTGTTTGAACTAGAAATAATATTAATAGATATGAAATACAAATATTATTTAATTATTAGAATTTGCTATTGAAAAATTTCATTCTCACTTTAGATTTCTATTTTGTAATGTAATTTTGTTTTATTTAACACTTAACATTCACCTTTTTGAAAGTGAAAATTAAATTTTTTTTCTTTTTTTTAATTTTTAATTTTCATTGATACATGTAAGATCAATATGACCAGTTCGAAAAGAGTGTCGCATATCTTTTCAATTGTTTGTCAATCATTTGCACAGCTACCAAGATCTTTCTGTTCTTAAGCGTAATATCTCAGAGAAAGAAGGGCAAAAGAACAAGGTCATTTCAACCTATAATGACGTCGAAAATTTAGATCATATGATAACTTTAGATGTACTCGTCAAAATTGGTCTATCCTGAAAGTTCTCAATCTTTTTCTATGAATAGTTCTTCAAAAAGACAGAAAATATCTAATATACTTTTAGAAAATTTTATCATTACCTCAAAATGAACAAGTTTGCATCTAGGTTATTTTCTAATTCTATAGAAAAAAAGTTCATCGATTATTTCTCTAAAGTTTCGAAAGATGATTTTTCAATTCTTCTGTTGTTAATTGTTTTGAATGATAAGTTTGATTGTGAAACATTTGCTGTCATTATCGATTTGTCTCTTTTTGATAGTTTAAAAAAAAAACCTGATAGACATTAATCATTACAAATACATTTTAACAAAATATGAGATTTGCATATTGTTGTCAGTTAAGTTACTTATTCACTCTAAATTCATACTTAACAATATATTATGAAAATCTATAAAATAAAAATCTGATATACTCCATTGATGTTTTTTAAATAAATCTCGAATAGTGAAGTGAATAACATGAATTCATGTAAAATTTTATCTCATGAACGAGGTATATGTTTGTTACTTTACAATAAACTTCTTCTAATCAACTAAATATTGTATTTAAAAAGTCAACGTCTATAATTTTTTTTTTATTGCTGCGAATATTACTCTTTGAAATAGGGCAACTCGAACAAATTATTTTATTAGGCTTACCTCATGCAGAACTATTGTCTACGGTATATTGGACATATGAGTCAGTTGTCTTATAGAGTTACTTATTAAGAAAAGGATTAGTTTAGTACAACTTTCAACCAAATTTGAAGACTCAAGTACTGGGTACCTTTGTGAACTTAGCCATTAACTTTGATATAGATTAAGACTTCTCTATTTCGTTCTTTCTACTAATGAAAACAGCGTATTTATAACTATCTTAAGTCCTGAATTTATACAAAAAAACAACGAAATATATTATACAGAAGGTTCTAGAAGCTTGTTGGCAATGTAAAAATTCATATCTCTGATTGAATTCAAGCAAATGATAGAATGCTTTGTGAAGCTTTATTTCTATGCATCTTTCAATAAATATCTATGTCTATTAACATTACAATACGATGACCTTTCTTAGAGACTAAGTCCAGGTCATTGCTAATGATCAAATAAGAATTATTTGTTAAATGAGGCAAATAAAGTACTAGATGTAGATAATAATAATGATTTTTACAGATGTGCTTCAATGAAATCAAATCAATGTCAATGTGATTAATAACATCATAAAAATGATTTACAAGATCAAGTTAGCATATGTGAAACTTTTCTATAAAATATCAACCTTTGCTGTTCAATTAAATTGCACACAATATCATAAAAAAAAAACGGAATAATTCAATCGCTTGAATTTATAAAGAGATAATTATGTTTATTTTTCTAACGAACTTCTAAGTCATCATGTATTTATAAAATGATAAAAATCTCGGAATATTGTCTATATTTTTTCTCAACAACTTGGAATTTATATTAAAATATAAGAATAGAAATGATTTGTGAAAAAAATTAAACACTGCCTCAAGGTTATCGATATTTTTTTTTTTAGATAAGGTTAATTAAACATTCGATACAGAGTGCTTTTAATATCGGAATAGATAAAATGATGCCTGGAGGCAGAAGAACAAAAAGTACTATAAACTGACTACTTTCACAACAAACGATCCGCCACTAGGCCATTCCTCCTTCGGATCCAGATCACAATCTTATTTACCTCGCTATGACATTGTTTGCTTATTTTTATTTTACTTGTTGCCACAGAAACACTAAAGATATTTCAAAATTCAGTTTCTATTTAAAGTTACTATGAAGTTGTAAAAAATGAGCAGAAAGTATTAAGAAATGTTGAAAAAGTCGAACATTTGGAGAACTTCTGTAATCGAAAACCTTGAATTACATTGTTTAGATCATTCACAAGTGTACTTCACCCATTCAAGCTTCAACACAAGCTTTGGAATGTTCTAGAACACTCGAAATCTTGTTACTAAGGAAGTCGGAGAAAAGAGTCTGACGTATGTTATCCTCGATTGACATGATTTATAAGAGTGAAGAGTGCAAAACTTAAACTTAAATCTTACACTCAAAATTGATTTTCGAAAATATACGTAAGTGTGAGAACATATTTTATTACCTGAATTAGAATTATTATGATTATTCGTATCTGTTCCATGTAACCATATCATACTATGTTTAGCTCTTCTACAATAACTAATTATTGGAAATGCTTCAGCTAATGTAAAATCACAATCAACATGTATACGTTCTATATCTTTATATGAATTTTTATTTTTTAATATTGAATCAGCAACTGATGATGAAATTTCTAAATAATTAAATGATGAATATGGTAATGTATGTAAAAACATATAATCATTTTGCATAGGATTATACAAACATATTATTGGACATATATATTTCCATGTATTTAATAATTCAATATAATTAATTGGTTGTTCAGGTAAATAATGTACAGCATAATGAAATTGTTCAAATGTATTAGGTAAACTTTGTTTTAAAATTTCACCATTTATTAAATTTATATCTGATGTACATAAATTTAATGATAAATATTTAATTGATGGAAGTTTTTCTAATAAAATAACTAATTCATTTAAACACCATGAACGTTCAACAGATTTTAATTGAAATTTATTTAAAAAATTTAATTTATCAGATGTAAATATACGATTAATATTATCTAAATTATCTTTTTTATGTGTTGATACAGATAAATTACGTATATTTGGTATAATAGTAAATAAAACTGATAAATCACATATAGTTGATATTTCAATTTTTAAATCAATTATATTTGAACATTTAATTTGATTTGATAAATATTTTTTAATTGGATTTAAATGACTTGATTGATCATCAATATAAACAGATGTTAAACGATTATTATTTGCTTGTAATAATGCTAATAAAACTTCTGTTTGTTGATTTGTTGGTACACGAAATAAACTACGTATATCAATAGTATATAATTTTTCAAGATTATATAAAGTTTTAAGAAATACTAATAATGGATCGGGACGAAATGAAACAAGTATTATTTTTTGTAATTCAGGAAAACATATTGACATAGAATTTTGAAAATATTTTGGAAATGCTATTGCTTGTAGTGCTGAATAACAGTTATCAATAATTAAAGTTTGAATTTGTGCACCAATATTTGGGAGAATTTTTGTACATAACTCATATGATTGTGTGTATGATGCTTTATGTAATGATACATGATGATAATAATCACTTATCATACACGTCATACGTGTATTGAGATTATCAAAACTGAGTAAAACATCAACACATAAAAGATATTTACAGATTTCTAATAAAATTTCATCGGGTAATGATTCAAAATTTGAGATAGAAGTCATCTACAAAGAAGTTTATAAGCAATGATCATTTTTCATATCATTATTATTTTATGTGTTCAACAGACACTATGTCCTGTATATAGAGAGAGAGATCAAAAAAACATTATTCGTCATGATAAACAATGTTCTTTTTTGTTATTTCAATGATAAACTAATGATTTTATTATTCTCAGTAATGTCAATTGTTCTCTTTTTAAATTATATTTCAAGAATAGAAAATCTTGATTAAGTTTTGTATCATAATTTTCAATAAAGATAACTCATATCCATAAAATAGTCTTAATTAAATTAATACAAATGAATTCACAGAATTTTCATTAAAGTAAGAGTGTTGCTATAATTAAAGCACAATACACTACTAAAGTACCTATTGACCTTAACAAGAATTTAATTATTATTTTAAATCAGATCAACTTACCTTCTTGAATGAAACAAGTAAAAGTTGATTTCTTTAAATTATCTTCGATAAAAATTAATCTAAAATTCTTATTTCATAGAACAAACAAAAATTCGAATTTGCTTGACAAAGTGCATGACGAGTCATAATTTTGATCTTAAATCATGTCTGTGTCAACATGTCTTTAAGGACATAATAATAAATATGTAGTATTACAAATCGTGTCTATTTGAAAATAAGTTTTAAAAAGTTTCGAATGTATGGTACGAGACGTGAAATATACTTTAATGTAATATTTCTTAAATGAAGCAATTATCTGAATCTTTCCTTCTTTTGGAATAATTTACTCTGTAAAATTAGAAGTCAAAAAAACAACCACTTACTGTAAATATAATTTCTGTAAAAATAGAAATCAAAATAACAAGCACTTATTTTAAATATAATTTCTGTAAAAAAAAACAAAAAGAATTGAAAATCTGAGAAACATAATTGCTATTCTAGAAAAAAAGTACCTAGACGATACAATGATAAAATAAAAGGACAAAACAAAAATAAATTTGTCCGAAAGATACATTTTGAATATACTCTTATTGCATCCATATTTCATCAATCATTTCAATTATATGAGTTTTTTTTTTGGAAAATAGTTTTTATACTTTAACATGATATTTGTCGAAATTAAAATTTGAAAAATCTATATATTTCGAAATAAAATAACACATAGATGGCGTTAATTATCAAGCAAGATGATATTAAACAAGAAACGAATTCAATTACAGTATGTGGAACTTGTTTTTGTGATATTGTATAACTCACGAAGGAAGTCTTTCAAACTGTTCAATCGATTTTGAGTCAAAACTATATGGATTATGTAGAGTGCAATGAGCTATGAATACTCTAAAAAGACATTGTGACCTTAGAAAAACTGTTTTTCGAATTTTGACTTGAAATTTTGCATAGAGACATACTTCCCGATGAAAAATTTCAATTTTTGAGCTTTTTACATGGTCGAATAGTCCATATTTTCTACTTTTCGGAATCATTATTATATAGGCTTCTGACTTGGAGAACATACTTGGGATGCTCTAACAAATGCATTTCATGCATTACCTTCATATGGTTTCTTGTGAATCACTCTATGAAAGCAAAAGATTTGGATTTCCAAAGTTTAACTTTATTCGACTTTTTATTTGTGTTCGTGCGTTCCACATCTCTCAATCATTTTATATGTTAGAAAACTCGAAAGATTTAAATTGGTCAAGAAAAGTATATTCTACAACTAGACAGAGCCGAATTTTCATGTTTGACTTAGCTTTGGAGAGAAATGAATCTCTTTTCATACATGTGGAAATGTTTATTTTTAAGCTTTCTTGATCTGAACAGATATCTTCTGATAATTTCAGTTCGAGCAATTGTTCTGAAGCAAAAGTAGGTTTCGATAGGAGGATAATCGGTTTCTATTAATAATGTAATAGACACGCTCTCACCATTGTTGAATTTTACGATAGGATCAATGATAAGACTCATCAAAATCAAGAACATCAAATATCGATAGACTAGCACTTCGTTCGATAAGGACAATTCAAGATTGAATTTTTTTTCTATTTTCACTCAGTATTAGATGAAAAAGCGTTATACTATGACAATAAAAATATAATAACGCTGATCATGCCTGCAATTGTTTATGAATCAAAAACGTTTATTCGAATGATATTTTTAAACATTGATGATTATATGAAAACTTATTTGAACTGATATTGTTCTTTCTATGGGTTAAAACTGTACAGTACGAACATTTTCTTTTTGGTTTTTAAATTATCGTAAATCTCTATTGGCTATACTGTTTAAACAGCAGTTTCGAAGAACTTCTTTTTTTTTTTATTGACTTCTCTGAATTAAATTAAAAACCTTACAATGGCAGTAATATTTGATATTTGAGTCGAAATTTTGCCCTTTCTTATCCTTGAAAACTCTACTCCTTGATTATATATATGGCATGATCTCTAGAATATATATATAATCCACAGAATCTAGATGAATTGTAACAATTTCCTTCCTTCCCCTTCCTTCTTACCGTAATAAATCCAGTTTTCATCATCCTTCAAATAAAATGTCTAACGTCGTCTGATTTAACATGCTAGATAAACACGAACTGAAAACACTCTTTGACAGTCACGACATGCATGATTAATCTACCGTATAAGCATATGACAAACAGAAAAATATCTTTGTATGAAATACTCCTTTACATGTATTTCACACAATCAAAGTTCCAATATTCTTTTGTGTACAGATTGCAGATTTCAAGCTAGTTTCGTTTTTTCTATTATATTCAAATATGATTTGTTTGAGATATGAAGTAAATAAATGAAAACTGTGTCTATTTTATCATTATATAACATATCTCGGCAAATCCAAAGGTCGAAAAAGCGTATAAACACAATAGGAAAAAGGGCCGTCGTCTATTTTTGCTCACTCATGATTGTTAGTTATGAAAGAAAAAAACAAGCATTTTTTTTTTCTTTTTTTTTGCACATTTATACGCGTTTTATGACTGTTTGTGAATGTCTAGGAAACATGTGATTACGTTTATTAATCTCCTTGTTGATAAAATACTCAAGGTCTTCTATAATATTTCTCATTTTTTAATTACTCGTAAATAAAACGGTATTTAAAAAATTGCAACTGTTTGTAGAATTTTAAAGGTATTTTTTAATATGAAAGATGAAAATTGATTGATTTTCAAGTCAAAGTCCAAAAAAAATCTAAGCCTATACCTGATTAAATATATTATTTAAAGTTTCAATTTCTTTATTTATTATACAATAAAGAAAAGTTCTTCTACAGTTACATGAGGCTACTTACTCTTATGCTTTTCATTAACATATTTAGTAGAAAATGACAAGCATTCTGTTAATTAGCCCCAATTTGGTAGTTAAAATGTGCATACATAATAATACGAAATTGCGTTGTTTCTTTTTCTTCTTAATTCAACCAAAAATAATTTCTTTGACTATAACACCAGCATTATCAGAGAAGAATTTATTTACGGAACATGATTAATATTCTCCATGTTAAAGTATAATCTAAAAATTATTAAAGGATGATTAAATAAATCGATTGATGTACTACAATACCTTTGATTGTTTATTTTCAATTTGAATTCTATATATTTATAGTTGATAAATTCACAAAAAATTATTTGATTGAGTAATCAATAGAAAATCGTTGATTTACAAAGCGAGTATATTATTCTTAACTATTATTAGCATTCGTGATGATGTATTTTTCGCTTACACTATTTTATATGTCATTTTCTCATGACAGAGGGCTTATATAAGACTTCATTAAATAAAAAGAAATTACTACGGGTTGAATGTACTTAAAATGAACTAAAAACACAAAAATTGTTTTTAATAATTATAATTACGTGAATCATCTTGGAAAGTAATATTCATTTTTGAAAATAAGGCGGTCCGAGAGAATGCCTATAAATTTTGAAGGAAACGTGATAGAGACCTACGGTTTTCATTGTTCCGTAGAGCACAGCAGGGCACATAGTAGTACAAAATATCAGACCTACAGATAAAGTTTAACATAGTATATATTTTTCTGCAATATTCATGACGCTCTCGTTCCCTAATAGTACGACGAGTTTTGATTTTCAAATAGTGAGATCGATAGCCCAGATTGAGATCTACAATTTTAGAGTAACGCCATATCTCCATCTCATACGGTCCAAAAGCTATAGGTATTCCTTCGAAACGCCTTATCTCAAAAAATGGATATTAGATTTTGATCTGGGCTATCAATCTCACTATTTGAAAATCAAAACTCATCGTACTATTAGGGAACGAGAGCGTCGTGAATATTACAGAGAAATATATACTATGTTAAACTTTATCTGTAGGTCTGTTATTTGGCACTACTATGTGCCCTGATGTGCTCTACAAAACGATGAAAGTCGCAGGTCTCTACCACGTTTTCTTCAAGAGTTATAGGCATTGTCTTGGACCACCTTATTTACAAAAATGGATACTGGAACACAAGGTCTTAAACAGAATCTTTTAAATAAAAGTGTCTGCTATATAAGAGAGAAACCTCTTTAAGCTTATAATTGCCAAAATTGATCCGAAATACTATTAAATACATACATGTTTTCGACTTGAAACTTTGTAAAAAAAACACAGTTCTCAGCAAGATTAATTTATTGTAAAAGTTTCAAGTCAAAATTTGAAAATCGTGGTATTTCTGAGTAGAACTACAGTATTAAGTTAACAACTATCGTAAAAATGCAGCATTTTCGTAATAATAAGCTACAAATTAATACTTTGAACTTTTCTCGTCAGATTTAGCTTTGTATTTTTTTATATTGATGCGACCTGTAATCATAATTAAGATTTTTACTTTTATACATCACAAGTTTAATAAAAATCAAAGGTTGTTACTCATTTACATTCATAAATAAAATTGTTCGTACATCATATATGAACCTTTATTCTTCTATCAAAACTAGCATTCAAATTCAAACTTTGATACATACTTCAATCAACAAGTATCTTTTATTTCCGTATAAACATCTTATGCATTTGTTTACTTAACAATAAGCTCATCTACTTTTTTTTTCTCAAAATCTATCAAGAAAAAAGAAAAAACTTGTAATATTCATTATTCATATTGTTCTCGTACAAACATTCAATTGAACTCTATGTAGGACACAAAAAAAAAAACATAAAACTTGACACATTATATTATCATCAAATATATCAATGTTCACTATAGTTTATTCATATAACAGACATAACAACAAAGAGTTTGTCTTCAAATGATGCCGATCATCTCATTTTAAATGTTCAACAGATGGATATGATTATAAGAGATCTTTTATGCATGAATAAACATCAAATAATTATATCCTTTATAAAAGATTTATTTCTATTGGCATTTTATATTTTAAATTCGTTCTAAATACATAAGACAGATGATGTCTCATTATGGCATGAACAATTTGAATTCACGGCAAAAGAAAACAAAAAAAAAACAACTAAGTATATGCAAAAAAAAAAAAGAAGAAGAAAAAGAAACAACTCAAATAAGAAAAAAAAAATTGAATTATGAGAATGACTTATGATTTATTTGAACGATAAATTTGACAACGAAGTTGAATATTTTCTTGTTTTAAATGTGCATTTTCAAGTCGAAGTTTAACATTTTCTTGTTCAAGCCAAGCAGCTCTAAAACATGAGAAATACAAAAAAAAAAAGCAATTTTCTTTTATTAATAAAATAAATTTCATTCATATTTACCGTAAAGCAATTTCATCTTCTTTAGCACGTCGTGCATCACGACTACGTTTAGCAGCTTCATTATTTTTTTTTCGTCGTTCCCAATAAACATCATCTTGATTCTTAGGAGACGGTAATGATGTATTTGATTTATAATCTTTCTTTATTGAAATAGAATTTGTTGATATTGAACTAACATATTGATCTTGTTGATTAACATTTTTTAGTAAATGTTTATAAAATTGTTGTAAAATATTTTCATTTGAATTTAAATGATTATCTGTTAATGAATAAGAACTAAATGGACGTATTAATTTATTATATTGATTTATTCTTGTCGAAAAATCAATAGATCCAACTTGTTGTTGTTGTTGTTGTTTTTGAATTGCTTCAATAAAATATTTTAAAAATAATTCTTGTTGATTTTTATTTATATTTTCTTCATTTTGCTCCATATGATCAGCTATATCGGCTGATATATCAAGCCGAAATGCGATCGATGGAATCTAAAAATAAATAAAATATATTCTCTTTTGAATTAATTAAGAGGAATAGTCTATAAAATTTCAAACAACATTTTGATAATTCATACATTCTTATTGAATGATATTTATCATCAAAAATATTCAGTTTGATCATTGATCACAAAATATATACATGCTGATATCGTTCTCTATATTTTAATATTTTTCTTTCCTTTTCTCTTTTTTTTTTCTCTCTCTCTCTTTTTTCGCATTTAATATTTGCTCATATCACTCATGGAATACATGCTTTCTTTTTTTGTTTTTTCACGTCAAAAGCTTCTTGATTTAATCTTTCTTTCGCCGCTTGTGAGCGATCTAATATACACACGTTTGATTACATACGATATTGAATCATTAACTACAGGAGGTTCTATATGGAGACGAAGATATTACAATAGCCTGTTGTTTTTTTTTTTGTAAAATGAAAAATAAATTATGCAAAATCGATCTAACGGCTTCGCTCATATAATTGATAGAGCAAACGATTACTGACCCCTATTGATTATAATGATGAAAAGTGAGGTCAACATTCCTTTTTTTTTTTTTTTTCTTTCAATGTAAGACAAAATATTTGACCATCGGCATACTCAAGAGAAATTCAAGGTCATGTTATGTGTGATCGATCGCACGAAAGAATTAAATAACACAGCTAGAGCTCTTTGGTGATCGATGTGCATAAGAGAACGAATAGTATAGAGTAGAAAAGAAAAATAGATTCAATCGTTATTTTGTATATGCATCGGTCACTCTGGTCATTCAACAAAATACTAATTACTCACATGGTGTGTGTGAGAGAAAGAAATATCTTGATCATTTCAATGAGAAAAAAAAAACGAAGAAGTCTGGTTATTTAGATAAATAAAAAACAATGACTTAAAAAAATCAATTATAAGTTTGATTGTATATTGCTTTTTTTTTTTTCAGCATGATCAATTTTTTGAGTTGGTTGATATTCACACAATTCTTTAATGTTGAGAAAAATATTAAAAGTATAATATTTATGTTTAATCTCTTGAAAATTTGTGACAATCTTGATCAAGTCGTCTCCGGAAAGGTGGAGCAATCATCTCTATTTAATCCACTTCTGATTATGTGTCGATTCGTGTCTTTTTGATGTTTTAACACTTCTTTAGATCTTTTCAAATATTTGACATTAAAAAGAAAAGTACACTTATATATGTACGACGTCTATTCTTTCAATTTTCAATGATTATCATGTGTTATATGATCCGATGAAATAATCATTGAGTAATATTGAGTGATCTTGTCACACATTGGTGTGAAGAGGTGACAATCGAAAGATTGAATTGTAACTAACAGATTTTCTTTTTATATTATTGAAAAAAAATAAAAGCTATTACATAGTATTCTAATCTTGAAAATTTCGATAAAAACGGATATTTATTTCAATAAATTTAATCTGTTATGATAATCTTTACATCATCATCATTTATAATAAATATCTTTAAAAAACAGATGTACAGCGGAATTGAATATATAAGAAGAAGAAAAAAAAAAACGAAAATGATCAATGATGATAATGAGAAAAGGTCATACTTGATAGCATAATCAATTATGAGAACATATGGTGATAATCATATTAGAATAAAAATAAAAATAAAATGAATGATAATTTCAAAATAAAGATAAAAATCAAATTTGAAAAGAAAAAAAGAGAATCTCTATTTTATGATTTGTATTATAAAATAATTCATTGAGACATTTTGTTTTAAATATTTTATTTTTAAAATGAATTCTTATTGTGAAAAATGAAGTATTGAACTGAGATCATTTCTTTATCGTCTTTACAGAAATTCATTTGAAAAAGAATAAACAAGGCACATAAACAAATTAGTATTTCATATCAAAGAATATGACAGAACATTTTTTTGTCATATAACATTATCGTTCAGTCATTCTGGTTTGCAAGATTATCTATTAATTGAATTTTTCACAAGACAAAATGCCAACTTGTCTGTATATGGCATACGATGTCAAATATCATAAAACGTACTATTTATGCAAAAATCATTTACAATCTAATCATGTTAATAAACTTTATCACATATTTTTCAACAGATATGAAATGAACAAATAAAAAAAAGTATTTGACATTTCTACGGTGAAGAAAACAAGCATAAATATACAAAATTCAAAATATAATCAATATAAACAAATGAACAATGAGAATGGATAAGTTTTCTTGAATTTTTCGTATGAACAAATAAATGGTATGTTATCAATTTGATTTGGTGATAAAAACATATTCGTCTTTGACTGAATGTCAATCCAACTGAACTAAATAATCTTTTCATTAAAGCATTAGTTGTTGGAATGGCATCTATTCTTCAGGCTATGATTGATAATAATTGAAAATCACCATGAATTTCATTACTAGATCAAAACTGAATTGGAATGACTTGAGCGTCTTGTGGCGTTTTCTTTGTCAAATTTTTGCTCAAAGAATTATTCAACGATAATTTTAAAGTAGAAATAAGAAATTAAATATTAGTCTTTGCATAATCGACCAATGTTTCATATAAATACAAAAGATTATGAATCCCATTAATAATTTTACAAGTGTGTTAAGTAACTTAAATTTTCTTCTTTTGTTTCTTTTAGAGAAAATTTTCTCTCTACAAGTTAAATGATAGAATCTCATATCTACATTAATGAAATAGAAATTAATTTTGTACCTATGTAATATCAATAGAAGACCAATGTAACTTGTAAGTTCATCTTTCTTAATTATTTAAAAAGTCTTAATAGATGTCATTACGTAGGTGACATGCTGCTAAACAAATAATCCAAAAGAATTAAGCTTAGTTTATGATTATATAGCATTATGGTTCGAAAAATTTTTTTCTTGTAAGCATGTAACGGACAATACAAATACTAATTCATGACAAATCTGTATTATTCATTCATATAAGACAAATAACAACATTTCAATTATTTTTACACACGAATTATCATAAAAAACATACATAATCTTATGCATGTATATTCAAGAACTAAATAGTCTTCATTCATATTTTTCGAATGTGTTCAATCTATATTATTATTTATTTAATTTCTTCTGTTTACTCAAAGTTTACAAAGACTACAAATCTTTCTGACATGAAGGTACCTATTTTTCTATCAAAGTATATACTAATCAATAAATTCATCTACTCGTTTTACTTCTCTATTTAATTTTCTTTCATATCCGATTTCTAGCTATCATATTATCAAAAAAGAAAAATAAATGTGACACATGTTATCATCAAATAATTACATGACATTCTTTTTCTTTTTCTTTTTTTTTTACCGAACTATTCTAATATCAAATATAATTAAATCTTAGTAGTATTACAAGAAAAACCATAAATCTTTTCATCATTAATATTTGGAAAAAGTTGTGTTTTTTTTTTTTGTGTTTTCAAAAAATTTTGTCTATTAGAATATGACAAAAAGAAAACAATCAGCATCAATCGATAGACACATTCAATGAGATTTTGTATACACTTAAAAGACAATGAACAAAAACAAAAACAAAAAGAAACGAATATGACACAAAGACATATACATAGTTGATTCTAATAAACTCTAAACAACAGCAACAACAACGAAAAAAAAAAAAACAAAAAGAAGCAACAACGGCAGCAGCAAATATTGCGTAAAAAAACTAAATGTGAAGCACGTGAAACAAATTCAGGGAAGAACTAAAACGCAAACATAAACGATGTCATGAAATGAAGCAAATAAAGTATATCGTCAGCTATTGAAACAAAACAAAACAAAAAAAAAAAAAGAAGACATTAATGGCCACTTATTCATGGCAAAAGAAAAAAAACGAATGCAAAATTTACTCACACACACACACACTCTCTCTCTCCACAAAGCAGTATAGATAGATAGATAAATACATATCTCGAGCTCGGCTCTATAATATGTATTTAAAAAGAAACTGCCTAGCAGAGATAGAAATATGAACTCGATGAATGAGACATACATGAATACTTTTTGACACTACACAAGGAATTATTAATTAACCAAAACATCACCGAGAAACATACACATCGGAATATATCAATGACTATGATGTGGCATAAACCATACATCGTAATTTAGCTGTTTCTTGTTTTAATTGAGATACTTCAAGACGTAATTTAATATTTTCTTGTTCGAGAATAGCCGCTCTAAATATATAATACAAAAACAACATTAATAATTACTGTTTTGCGACGAAAAAAATAAAAAGGTAAAAAAAATAAAAAAATAAAAAAAACTCAATTGATTTACCGTATAGCAATTTCATCTTCTTTAGCTCGTCGTGCATCTCGACTACGTTTGGCAGCTTCATTATTTTTTCTTCTTCGCTCCCAATAAGCATCATCTTTAATTGTATTATTTGGATCATCATTATTAGTTGATGAATTATTATTGTTATTTTCAGTTGTTGTTGTTGTTGTTGTTGTTGTATTATCTTCACTTGTTGATGTTGTTTCCATAGTTCGATGTCGTTTTTTTGGTGGTTGTAAGATTTGTGTACCAGATGATGAAATAAAATATGATTGTTGTTGTTGTTGCTGTTGTTGTTGTAAACGTTGTTTAAGACGTTCTTGTGTTTGAGCTAGACGTTTACGATTTGATGTTGTACGACTTGCTGCTTCAGCAAGAATATTTGTTTGTTCTGTTGCTGTCGTAGGACAAAATCCAAGTGGTAACATTAATGGTTCACGTGGATATGCTTTAAATGGTCGTGTTGGTTTACCATTTTTATTTGTTAATAAAAATGGAAATGATGATGTTGGTGATGTTGATTGAAGATTTTGTAACATAGTTGAAAGAAGTTGTTGTTGATTTGGTAATGGTGATGATGGAGTTGAACAATCATTATTATCATCAATTGAACGATGTGAAGAAAAATCTATTGGACTTTCTGATGTTGATGATGCTGATGATGTTGATGGTGGTGATATTGGCTCAATTTTTTGTTGTTGTTGTTGTTGTTGTTGTTGAACTTGAAGTTGAGCAGCAGCTGCTGCAGCCATAACTGCTGCAACATTCTGTTGAGTAAGTAATTTTATTAATAATTCTTGTTGTTGTTGTTGTGAAGATGGCATGGAAAGAGAATCGATTGGAATTGATTGTTGTTGTTGTTTTTTGGAAGTAATTGGTGATGATGAAACAGCAAGAGTATTTTGTAAACTTTCGTTTTCAACTTTTTCAATAGCTTGAGCAAGTAATTGAAGACGATAATGTTGTTGTTGTTGAATATTATCTGTATTAGGACTTATAGATAAATCTTCGTTTGTCACTGGTCCAACCTGATACGAGAGGAAAATATAAAAAAAAAAAAACGATGACTAGAAAATTACGACTCTTCTTTTCTTTTCTTCTGTATTTGTATATTCGTAACACATATATTTTGTTGTGATGATGAGTTATGCAATCATATTTTCGAGTTTTGTTTTTTGTTTATTTATTATCTTTTACTTAACTCTACAGTTTTTTTTTTTTGATTTTTCGAATTTTGTTAACTGATAAATATTAAAAAAAGTTAAGTGTTATTAAAAAGCTTTTATATGATTATAATGAGATATATGTATTTATGATTTTTCTTTTTATCATAAATAAAAAAAAAAAGTAAATATTATGTAGATTAGAAAAAAAAAAACGTATATATATATATATATATTTCGCAGATTATTTTTTTAAGATTTTGATATGATGATGCAATCGATATATAATTAGATCACAATGACATTAAACACTTACCATTCTCTTTCTATGAATATATTGTTCTTTAGTATTATATTCACCGGGAATAGATAAAGTTTATCTTGAAATAGTTGTTGTTGTTGCTGTTCAATCAACGATAGAGCAACAACAACACTATCAATCTAGAAAAATGTCCTTGTGAGCACTGAATGTAAATGAAAGCGAATAATATGTTTTTAGTAGCGCTCGATGACGAAGGGCGATTGCGTGATTTGATTCGTCTTTCTTTCCTTCTGTTTTTTTGTCCTTTCACTCATTTGCTTCTCGATTTCTCTTGTTCTTTTTTTTTTTCTCTTATTTTTTTTTTTCTTATGTCGTTTTTCTTTTTCACTTGTATATATGTCTGATTGCATTAGATTACTATTAGTCGCTGTCATAGACAGCAACAGCCGTTTTTTTTTTCTTTATGTTTTGTTGTTTTTTCTCTTGCGTAAGTTAAGAACGAGACATCAAGAAAAGAAAAGAACACACGTTCTATAATATTGCTATTACCACCAAGAAAAAAAAAACAAGATAACCGGTTTCGGTTTATTACCAATTCCTTTTGTCACTCATGTCGTGGTTACAAAAAAAATTGTGTTCTGTTCTTGATGTTAGATGCGTTTTTCTGTCGAATAGAATGATGTAATTTTTCTTTGCTTTTCTTTTCTTTCTTTCTTTACATTTCTTATAATTTTTTTTTCTCTCTTTTTATGGTTTCCCTCGTTTTATTTGTCTATTCCTTTTTTTTTATGTAATATTACGTTATATAGTCGAGTCTATCCAGACTTGTTTTTTTTCGACTTTCTTCGTTCTTTTTTTTTCTCGTCATCTCATACAATCACCATAAATATAATATATATATATATATAAAAGATTCTTGGTGATGGCAATAATACGACAACAACAACCCTAGTAGTTCTCAACAAAATACTTTTTCTTTTTTTTTTTTTTTTTTTTTTTACATATTCTATATTTCTCCCTCGATTTCTTTATATGATGTAAATATGATTCTCTTTATTTAAAAAAACTTACTTCATCAATAATATTCATCATATGAAAAAGCAAAAAAAACTTAATATATTTGTTAAAATTTTGTTGCTGTTGTTTATGTCGTTATTATACTATATGTAAATGCAAATAGCTAATTCTAACAAGTTCGATGACCTTGAACAGAATTGTATACTGACCGATGGTACAATATGAATCGATTTTTTTTCTCTTTCTCTTCTTTTTTTTCATATATCACCCTTTGGTCAAGGTCAACAGGATGCGATGTAATCATGCAAGCACACTCACTCTTTTTCTTTTGCTTATGTTTGATAAGTTTGTACATAATGTGTACATGAGCGGTCACTATCGATCGGTCACAAGCAAGGTCATGTTTTTGCGCGAATATCAACGATGTATTTCATAAGGGTATAAAGCACACAAGATTGATGTATTTTTTTTTTCTTTTCTTTCTTTACGAGTTCATTCGTTCAGTAATACTCAAGTAACAATTGAACTCAACATTGAACAAATGTCATTATTGAAGACAACCTTGAGTGCAAGTACACCTGCTCATACTGTGAATTTAAAGGATGATAATAAAAAAATAAAAAAAAGAAAAAGAACAAAGATTATTGAAGGAAAAAAGTCAATGATATTAAATAATATATTAGTAAAAAAGAGGAAATGAGAACTATTTTTTTTCTTTTAGTTTTATTTAAGACTGATGTTCGTTGTTTATAATAATATGTCAATTTGTTATGTTTGCAAATCAATATTGTGTATAGTATTGATTCTTGATGTCGGAAATTGCGTTTCATATATATATATATCTATCTTTAGACAGATAAAAAGAAGAGTTCGGTGTTGTTTTACGTCATTTTGCGTAGATATTTGATTATGTTTATGGCTCGATAGAATTAATATGCTTGATTATCAATGGCTAAACGGAATTATGCATGAATTGAAATCTTTTCGAAATACTATATTGAAAAAATGTTTTTATCTTATATTATTTTCACTTATTTTTTTTTTAACATGCAAATGAAATTGCTAAGAGGTGACAATATTAGTCTATATTAATGAAAAAAAAAAAAAGAAAAGGACGCGTTTTGTTTTTCAGCTTTAATTTTCATCTTATCTAGATATATGAAGTTTTTAGGCATCGTTTGACAAAAAATCTTATCATTATTGAAGAACTTATTAATCCAATGCCATAGGAGATGATCAATAGGTCATAATGATAAACTTTCAAATGAATATTATATTTATAGTTTTGTAATGATGAAAAGATCGATTTTCGCCATCATTGAGAACAATTATTTCGTTTTTTTTTTTGCATTGACACATAACTTTTGTAGTGCTCATGTTGTATTCTTTTATTTTATTTTATTTTTTTTTTACACACGATACTTTTAGTCATATCCTACTGGTCAGTAGGCATTAATTTCTGTAAGACTTTCCGATCTGAATTTTACTTTTTTTCTCAAGAAAATAAAAACGAAATATTTTCTTCAGTTCACTGATGCTTATCATTAACACGTTAGCTATGTAAAGTGTCGATGATACTAATTAATATGAACATTATTGAAGTGAAACATTGTTAACAATGAATTAAAATTAATTGTGGTAAGTGCAATAGAAGTCTATTTAATTCTTCAATTGCTCATCGTCTTTGGTTCAATAAGAATTTTATTTGATCTTTCATTTTGTTTTTACAAACATAAGAATGGTCTAATCCAGTTTAATTCATGATCAATATCATAATTTTTTTTGAGATGCTATTCTAAAATACTGAAATATTCGTTGAGTTTCATCGTGTAGAAATCTTTTTTTTTTCTAAAAGAAATATACTTACAATTAGTGTCAATCTCGACAGGCTATGAAACAGTGATTCAATTTCGAGCACTGTATGACACTATCAATAGTAGTAAAGTGTATGATTACTAGACGTTACTATTGGTTGCAATTTCCTTCGATAATTTTTACCTCTCTTATGAATTTCAATTACCTTATAAGGTTCTTATGGCTTTAGTTATAAGATGGCTAGATAAACGATAATAATTTTAAAAAAGAATAATAAGAGAGCATCTCTAAGATATTGAGTAAAGGATTTAATAAGTAAACAACCAAAAGAATAGTGCAAATATGGATTCTGTAAATAATACTTTAGTAGAGAAGTATTATTCTATCTATCATAGGTATTCACGATGGCAAAACTGAATAGGTATGTTTCTTTTTGTAGAAAATATCTGCATTGACTGGAAAAGAAATCTATTTCTATTGTTAGTGGCAATGAATCGGAGATGCTAATCGTACTGTTTGTAGTAGTCAAAACAATTTGTACATTATGATCAAAACGTATTTTCACATGGCAATCCTTCGAATAAAAAGTAAATTCAATACTTTGAAACTAATTACTCTGAAGCTTAGTGTTGTGTTTTGCTAATCCTTGACGAAAATTTGTAACAGTTTATGTTTTATATTTGTCAGTAAGCATTAGAATTTCGATTATTAATTAATAAAAATTTTACTATAATTATAACGATTTATTATTTGAAACAAGTGAGCAATTTACTCAATATGCTGTATTACTAAAATTTGTCTTCTTATCTATAGATGAAAATGTATACTGTGAAATAACATCTGTTGTATATTAGTATTGAATGTTAATTGAGAATACTTCATCAAATCTATTGCCGAACATAAATAACATATGTGTACATTCATCATTAAATTTCGACGTAATACTCAACAAATGATATCCTCGATTTATTATTAATTGAGTCATAGAATATTACTTTCATTTGTAAAAGAAAACATAAAAAAAATGACAAAAAGAACTCATTTTAAAATATTTTAATAATCATATGTTTTAAACATTTCACTATAATTTTATATAATGGTCAACCTGATAAATTAACATTTCGAATATTTTTTTACAATTAATAATTTTACATAACGGTTAGTTTTTATGTTATTTAGAAAGAAAATTATTAGAAATTTTTTTTTTTTTTTTTATTCAAAATAAATGTTCATTTTGCAAATAACAGATAGTTTTTACTCTAAAATGGTTTGGTTTTCCACAAAAGAAAAACTGTGAATCCCATAAGATCACGTGGAAAATCGACTTTTGACTTCAAATGTTGTACCAACAAATTTATCAATGACCTTAGTTCATTGGGCAAATTGTAAGTTATCTTGTATCTCCTATCTTGAGATATTTCGAAAGTCGGTTTTTTCTACGTGATTACTGTGTCTTGTTGAAAAAGTAAGTAAAATTTCGATATCTCTAGATAACATGTGAAAAACGTAGTCTCTCTGGGTGTGATATAGATAAAAAAAATTTCTCGTTTGTAGACATATCAAATGTAATTATAGATCAAAACAATATCAATGATGTTTATTTATTTACTCGATATAAAACTCTTTTGACATACTGATAGCATAATGTAATGTGATCTATTTCACATAAATAATTCTAATACATAATTAATAAAATAAGATATAGTACATTTCAGTTTGAAATGTTTGATTATAATGTATTTTACTGATTTTAAAATTAATGCTAAACAGAAATAAATAAACATTAATTATTAAAACTTAAAGATGAACACGTAGTGACACAACCAGGATGGGAGACTCAAACCAACCACCCAGTCTTAGTTCGAATCTTCAATTATTGAAAATTTGAAAATAATAGAGAACCATATATTTTATCCTTGAAACCAGTAGAGACTGAAAGCGCTAATCTGTGTTCTATGGTCTTCGTTATCACTCATATCTCCTGAAGAAAACAAAGAATAAATTGAAATATTTTGTAAACCTGTAAATAATATTTATGAAACTTAGTATATCAAACTTAAGAACCATAACCTGTGTCTTTTCAAGGTCTTCATCGCAAAAAAACAAAATTTAAATGATCAGGAATCACAGTCTTTGGTCACATCTACAAACCCACACATCAGGACGATTCTTTTATCTGGAACCTTAAGTTTGTTGTCTACAGTTGATTTAATTAGCACTGCACA